TAAAAGTAAAAGGAAGGAAATGATTAAGAAAAAAAAAAATTGTCCCTGATCAGTGCGTCTCAGTTGGTTGGGCATTGTCCTGCAAAGGAAAAGGTCACTGGTTTAATTCCTGGTCAGGGCACATGCCTGGGTTGTAGGTTTGATCCCCAGTTGGGGCACATACCTGTACAAGAGGCAAATGATTGATGTTTCTCTCTCTCATTGATCTTTCCCTCTCTTTCTTCCTCTCTTCCTCTCTCTAAAAATAAATAAAGTCTTTAAAATTAAAAAAAATTAATCTACTAGAAAATAAAGATAAGAGGAAAAGAATTTTTTAAAAGCCCTAAGTCAAGTATTTAAAACACTATTAAAAATGACAACCTCTGGCAAGATGGATCAAAAAATAAGAAATAAAGAAGGATGCAAACAAATACATTAGAAATTTAAAAGACAATAAAATATTAGAAACAATCTTATGCCATTTAATTGGGAAGCATACAATGAAATAATTCATTGAAATTTTAACTTGAAACTAATTCAAGAATATAAGCTGAAATAGTCATTTTATTTTTTTTATATATTTTTAAGATGTTTATTTTTAGAGAGGGAAGGGAGGGAGAAAGAGAGAGAGAGAAACATCAATGTGTGGTTGCGGGGGGCTGTGGCCTGCAACCCAGGCATGTGCCCTGACTGGGAATCGAACCTGAGACACTTTGGTTCGATTGAGTTCAATCCACTGAGCTACACCAGCCAGGGCTGAAATAGTCATTTTAAATAACAATTGAATTCAATTCCCAGCCAGGGTACATTCCTGGGTTGCAGGCCAGAACTCCCAGCAACCGCACATTGATATTTCTCTCTCTCTCTCTCTCTCTCTCTCTCTCTCTCCCTCCCTCCCTTCCTTCTCTAAAATAAATAAATAAATAAATCTTTAAAAAACAAAAAAACAATTGAATCAGAAGATAAATATGTTCATACTCATACCAAGATAAATGCAGATAGAGTCTTCCAGACTTTAAAGAAATAAGGTTATTTCAATCTTATACAAATTATTCCAGAGTATTAAAAAAGGCAAAATTCCCTTATCCATTCAATGATGCTCAAATAATTAATGTTCTAAAACTATAAGAAAGGAAATATAAGAGACTAATCTTGCCCATAAATAGGGATACAAAAATCCTAACCAAAGAATTAGCAAACAGAATTCATAGGAGTGCCAGTGGACAAAAAACACAATCCAATTATGTTGTCTGCAAGAAACTCACTTTAAATATAAATTTCATAATGGAAGTTTTTTTTTAAATGAGCAAGATGAGTTTATACAAAATGGTTTAATACTAGAAAATGGGTACACACACTTTATCACATTAACATACTAAAATAGAGAACAACATGATCCTCTCAATGCACACAAAAATTTATTTGATAAGGTTAAAAATTCATTAATGATTAAAGTTTATAAAATTTTTATAGCAAAATAGGTACAGAAGGGTGTTTCTTAACCTGAAAAAAAGTATATACCAAAAACTTTTAGCAAATATCACTTTTAATGATGAAAAAAATTAGGAGCAAATATCACTTTTAATGATGAAAAAAATTAAGAAAGTACCAACTTTCTTAATTCTTTGGCCTGGGCTGGGTAGCTCAGCTGGTTAGAGCATCCTTCCCCACACACCGAGGCTTCAGTTTCGTCCCAGTCAGGGCACATACAAGAATCAATGATGAATGCCTGAATGAGTGGAACAACAAACGGATGTTTCTCTCTCTCCCCTGCCCCCATTCCTCTCTCTGTATCTAAAATTGATCAATCAAAAGAAATAAATCAATTGGCAAATTAAAGAAGAGAACATCTGAAAATCTGAATATAAAAAGATATAAAAATCTCACTACCAGTCAGGGAAAGTTTACAAATTAAAACAAGTTACCATTTCCATCCAGGAGGTCAGCAACAGGAAGTATTAAGAAAAACGGGGTGATATATACTGTTATGAGCTTCTGCAAGTGTAAATTAGCATAACTAGGCCTTTTTTTGTAAGATCGAAGATAAACATACTTGCTCTAGGACCCAGAGATTCCTATTCCAAGAAAACACCCTCAAGAAACTTTCACTGTGACACCTCTGTAAGTGCCCATTGCTGCAGTGTTTGGAAGAACCTACCTGTTCTTTAGGGAGGAAAAAAACTTGGAGTAATTTATATATGAATTCTGTAAAGGAGCCCAAATGTATGTATAAATATAGAATAAGTCTCAAAAATAAAGTGGAGTGAAAAAAGTATCAGTTATTTCTTTTAAACTTTAAAAATTAAAAATATCTCATATCTAAGATAACTTGTTATATGTTTGTGTTGTTTCTGTGTGGACAGGAATGGTCTCGAAAAGTGAGAAAGATTCAGGAAAGAGGAGACTCGACAGAGTAAGCGCCTTGAGAAGGTGAGTAGGAATGGGGTTCAGAGTGGAGGGTTAGAGCTTGCTCTTAAAACATCTTTGGTGATTAGCTAACCTTGAGATTTGGGATAAGTAAGGTGAGGCAGTGGAAGGGAACTGTTTTCTCCAAATAACTTTTTGCCACTTAAACAAGCAAACAAATAAGTAGTAAATAAATTGTAAGAGAAAATATACAAAAATAAAATCCAGCCCATAATAATGTTCAAAGAATTGAAAGTGAGGCTGTCCCTTTTCCATTAAAAAAACAACAACAACTTTAAACGCATTTAAAAGTCCCAACTAAAGCGCAGTCTGATTTACTCATCTCTTTAGGTAAGTATTTAAGCTAAATTAAAAGCTGGAGCCTAGCCCTGGTTGGTGTGGCTCAATGGATAGATTGATGGCCTGCAAACCAAAAGGTTGCTGGTTCCCAGTTGGGGGCATGCAAGAGGCAACTGATCAATGTATCACATATTGATGTTTCTCTACCCCTTTTTCTCTCTCCCTTACCCCTCTCTAAAAACAAATAAATAAAAATCTTAAAAAAAGGAAAAAAGCCCTGGCTGGTGTGGCTCAGTGGATTGAGTACCGGCCTGCAAACCAAAGGGTCGCCAGTTCAATTCCTAGTTAGAGCACATGCCTGGGTTGTGGGCCAGGTCTCCCGTTGGGGGCCTGTGAGAGGCAACCATACATTGTTGTTTCTCTCCTCTTTCTCTCTCTCTTCCCCTCTCTCTAAAAATAAATACATAAAATCTTTTTAAAAAATAAAAATAAATAAATAAAAGCTGGAGCCCAGATGCGTAGGCTCAACTCCGACCTTAATTCTGTGTCTGTGGTGTTCACTAGTGCAGCCCTGATGAGTGAGAGGAGAGCTTAATACACTAGGTGTTCTAAGCCTCTAAAAACTACAGTCCCAATAATGCACTACAACAGGAGTTGCTTCCAATGAGGAAAAGAAACGGGAGTTTCTGGGGGTGGGGGGGGAGTTAAACATCATAAGTAAGAAATAAAATAGCATTGCTTTAGTCGAGCTGTGAAATTACTAACATAAGTATATTGAGAAAAGAGGAAACAATTCTATTCCTGTTTTAGGTAGCTTGGGAACTTAAACTTCTGAGCTTTTTTGTTCTGCATCAATGCCTGGGTATACATCAAACCTCCAGATAACCCTCTGACTAGCCCTTGAAGGACTAAGGAAAGAGTGTTCATGTATCCAGACCACTGGTCATCAAGAGAGGACTATCTCAGACCAATCCAGGGGCTAAGAATGCAGGGCTGATTCTCCTTAAGGATGTACTTTTCACCATAAGAACCCTTTGCTTTTCTTCTTCAGAAGTTGAAAGTATTTCTTACTGCTCTTTCTGGCTGCACAAATGCAGTCAAGTACCGTAGTCACTGGGTGAAGCAGTGAAACGGATGTGTGTAGGGTGAGAAAAAAGGACAAGAAGTTGCTCTGAAAACAGGAACAAAAGGCTTTCCAATTAAGAGCAAGTATCTTCACAAGCATTAATGTAAATATGTTTGAAACTTCATGCAACAGGTTGTTCTTTGGAAGTTCTTTAATTTCTGGTTCATCTTTTTACATCACAAACGGGCTGTTTCCACAATATCCACTGCTAAGCAGTATTTTCAGAGTATTTTTTTTGTTTTGTTTTGTTTTATGCCATCTAATTCACAGGGAAATTCGAGTTAAAGACTTTAGCCTTAGTTGATGGGCTTAAGTGACCAATGTGTGGAAAGCTGTGACTCCAGGAGGTGGACCTTTGTGCCCCAGGGGGTCTGCCAGCCCCCGGAGAGGGTATCTGAACCATTGTGTCCTCTGGAGGGAATGACCGAGATGCAGACTAAGAACTGTGGATCAACACCTAAAGAAGTACTAGGAAAATCGCCACCAAGACTACTACTCTTACCCGATTAACCTTTTTCCAAATCCCTTACTTCTTATAAAAAGGTCAGCTTGAATTGGGACATTGAAACAGTTTGAGGATACAGAACCTGCCATTTTTGCAGATAGCCAGCATCTGAACAAAGCACCCATATTCAACCCTTGTCTCTACTTATAGGTTTTGATAGTGACAGCTCGATAGATGATTTTCCAGTTTCATAGTCACCTACTGCTGGGTGGTGGGCTGGAGAGGTATGGCCCAGTTGATCTTTTAACCGCTTTACTCTTGAAAAGATGTTCTGAACTTCGTTTACAGTGTCAGCAAATTCTGGCAGGTATATATATTTTTCTGGAGACAGTCTATAACTCTCAAAGGTGTTCCAAAGGGTTAATGGTTCCAGAGAATCCAAGACCCACAGCATTAAGATAAGCTTCTCTTCAACCTCGCAAGAACTCTGAGCTGGTTTCCGCTCTCGGCTCAGAACTGGCGGTGTCCTCCGGGCAGGGCGGCCCAACGGGGCAGTCATCCGAGGCGCGACTTCCAGCAGGGGTCGCTGCGACCCCGCCCCGCATCCAAGCTCTCAGCTCCGCCGCTCTCGCCGCGACGGCGCTGACGGAAGGGGCGGGGCACGGGTAGGGCGGTCCCTGGAGGCCGAGGTCGGCGCCACTACCGGGAGGGAGGGGGAGGAGCGGCTCTGACGTACAGGTAACTGCGCCCCTGCCGGGCGCGCTGCGCCCCCAGTCCGAACCCCCTTTCCGTTGCTTCACGGCTCGCACTTGTGGAGTAGGGGCTTAGCGAGCGCCTTTGCCCTGTCCGCGCTTCTGCCACACTCAGCGTGAGTCTCCCAGGTCCTGTCCCGGCCGGGTCAGCTTCGGGACGCCTGGGGGTTCGAGATCGTCTACCCTGGGCCCGGCACCTACTGCTGTCCCCAGGCACAGACCGGGAGCTCAAGGACGCAGGTGTCCAGTTTCCCTTAACCTTGAGGACCCGGAAAGGTGCGCAGCCCGCGGGGGTGAGCAGGGAGCGAAGGGAACCCTACCCGGTCTCTGCAGTGAGTCCGCCTCTGAGGGCAGCAGAAGGGAGGATTTTTAATTGCAGTAGACCTAGAAGCATTTAGACCGGGTTCTCCTTACGGAGTAGTGAGTAGGCTCGGGGAACCTTGATTGATTCCCGCAGGTCAAGGACAGCGTTGCCTCCTACAGCCTTCGATTTGTTCACAGACTCTGTATCTCTCCTATACATCTCACCCAAAACTGGCGTAGGGCTTCCCGCCCCGGTTACCCCTAGGCTCCTGTACGCCTTTTCGCCAAGGAAACCTTTTAAAATGCACTCTTATCACTTCCCTACTTAAGACCTTTTATGGCTTGCATGCCCTCCGAGTCAAGTCTAAGGACATTTTAGGTATGCAAGGCCCTTGGAAATCTAGCTTCTTGCCCATCAATCTAGCCCCATCTTTGTTCTTTTCCGGATTCATCCCAGTGCTCCAGTTCTGATGTACTTCCATTCCACAGTAATTAAGCACTTACCATGTGCGATTCTGCAGAGGATATAATACAGGTGGAGATCCCTGCTCTTGTGGAGTTTATATTCTAGTAGGGGAGAGAGGCAAAAAATAAAAACCACCAGTAAGTTATCAGTTATATAACCTTATAACAGAAAATATGAGCTATGGGGGAAGAAAGTAGAGCAGAGTAAGGGGAGACTGGGAGAGGGAGATGCCTATTAAATAGAGTCAGAACGAGTAGTCCTCATTGAAGTGTAGATGAGCTATCCATGCAGATACCTGGGGTAAGAGTATTCTCCCTGCAGCTGGAACAGAGGACTCTGCCCAGAAAGATGCCTGTTGTAATGAGGAGCATCAGGAAGGCCAGTGTGGCTGGACCTGAGTGTGCAAGGGTGAGAGGAGAATGGAGGGGCCAGATCACAGAGTTTAGGCCATAGTAGGGATTTTGCTGTTCTCGGTTTTGAGGGAAATAGTGAGATGGTGTAAATTACTTTTTAAAAGAGTCACTCCAACACTCTGTGGAGAACAGGTTCTAACAGTCTTTGTAGCAACCCTGGTGATAGATGATAGTGGCCTGAATCTGCTGTGGTGGCAGTGGAAGTGGCGGGATACTGGGCTTGGTTTCCTGACATAATGCATGTGGGTATGAGGGAAGGGAAAGAGTGGAGAATGACTGGAAGCTTTTGTTCTCGGCTACTAGAAGGGTGGTGTTATCGTTGACTCAGGTGGGGAGGGTTGCAGATAAAGATTTGAGACTGGGAATATATATATCGGGAGTTTGGTTTTGGACCAGTTGTTTGAGTTGCCTGTTACTCAAATGGAGACTGAATAAATAGGCAGTTGGTTGTTCTGTCAGGGGTCCCCAAGGCCACCTCCAATTTATTAGGAAGACGTAACAGGACTCAGCTGTGGGTCCCCACAGCGGTGGGTCCACGGCAAAGGCATACAAAGCACAGTCAGCCGTGGAGAAGACGCACGGGACAGTCTGGAGGAAGCAGCCTTCCAAACCAAGAGTCCTCTCCAAGCGCAGTCATACAGGACATGCTCAGTTCCTCCAGCAACAAATTGTGGCCACACATGTGAAATGTCTATCAGGAAAGCTTATTGGAGACTCGGGGCCCAGGGTTTTTATTAGGATTCAGTCACATAGTCACCGTCTTGGAGAATGTGCCAGAATTCCAGATTCCTAGAGGGAAAGCAGGTATTCAGCCTCAATCAAATGGTTTGTACAAGCAGTTTGGGCACAGTGCACCACTCCTGTCAGCTCTGGGAGTGGTGAGAACCCTCCTGAAATCCCAGTTCCCAGACACCAGCCAAGGGCCACCTTGCAAGCAGATCTTTGTAAGGATAGCAGCGTCAGGCCTACTAAATTAACTCTTCTGCACAGATACACAAGTCTGAAATTTGGAAGGGTGGTCTGGAGTAATGATGGAGATCAGGGAGTTGTTGGCATGTAAGTGGCATTTCAAGCTGTGGAAATGTCTGATGTCTTGATATACATTTGTCAAAACTGAAACTGAGCTGGACGAAGTGAATGGAGAAGAGGGTCAGACTGAGCCCTGTTGCCCTCTGACACTAAGATGTCAGGGAAAAGAGAAGGAAGCAGCAAAGAAGTCTTGAATAGCAGCAGTGGGTGAGGTCAGAGGTGAACCAAGACTGAGGTGTCCTGAAAGCCAAGTGGAAAAGGAAAGTGATTAGTTGTTTCAGATGATGCTGAGAAGTCAGATGCGATGGAGACTAACAAATGCACCTTTGGATTTAGAAAACAGGAGGCACTGAGTGTACAGACGACTGTTTGGTGGAATTTCACTGTGAAGAGGAGCAGGAAAGGGGCAGCAGTTTGGGGGTAGTGGGGTCTTAGGAGAATTGCCCATTTGTTTTTGAATGAGAAATAATGGTGTGCTGATGAGGATGGTCCACCAGAAAGTAAAAAGTCACTGTTGTAACTTGCTGTTCCCCACCTCCCCAGCTTCAATTCAGGCCACTTTTGCCCTTAGGCCTGCCTGCGCTGTGCTGCGCTGGCCTCTGGCCTGGGCAGGGCAGGGCTCCTCGGGACCTTAGCTTTCGGGTCCCTCTCTCTGCCAGCCAGCTCACTCACCCATGCTCCACTTCAGCGGGCAGTTTCTTGAGGACAAGGACTGTGTTTGATACGTGGACTTAGCTGGCCACTTGGCATATGCAGGCAAATGAGTGATGTGGATGTATTAATAGGTGGGATGCTCATTTCATTTCTTAAAAGTGGCTCTTCAAGTATGCACTGGTTTCTGTATGTGTTGAGCAGATCGGGGATGGGAGTGAGGGATGGAACACAGTTCCCGCCCTGTCACTACTCTTGGACATAAGAACGGTACAAAAGACAGCGTTGGCACAACATGGGTTTGGAAAAGGGCACGGGGAGTGTGGGCAGGGGAGGGTGAGGAGGATGGAAGATTTTGCGTGGGGCCTAGAAGACAGGAGGCCATGTTAAAAGGACAAACTTTTTTTTCAGTGGTAGAATCCTTATTTTCCAATGAAATACAAGGAACCCCTATATTCACCACCACTGCAGTTCTGGTTGGAGAGGGTCCAGCCTGTGTGGCCCGCCCCTCTGGCTCTCGCGCTCCTCGGGCCAGTTCCAAAGCTCTGAGGCAGAATCTGGGTTCTCACACTCCACCCCGTGGCCCTGGGTGTCCACTGCTAACGTCTGCAGTGGTCATCTCCAGCAAAAATTGACATTACTGTTTCCTCAATTTTATGTGTATAAATTTTATCTAAGCTTCAGCATTTACCAATGTATCTCTGCTAGGGAGCAAAGCAGATTAGAGAGGGAGTGAGTAACTAATTACAGGTAATGCTTGGCTTGCCGTTTTGGTTGTGTTAATAGTAATTACATGTGAGTGTGATTTTAAAGCCATTTTGTGCTAGTAAAAGTTTCCTAGTGTAGGTAAAGATAACTATTCGTGGTGGATGTGGAGAGGACCATAACATCCAGGCATTCCTCACAGAGACCCCAGTGTGGTGCGAAGGCAGGGAGGGGGTGTGGGGAGTCCAGGGACTGACCTGGAGACAGAGCTCCCCCCACCCCGCACCGCCCCACAGGATGTCTGAGTAGGGCCACATTTCCAGTCCTCTGCTCCTGAAACTCTTTGTTCTCTCTAGTATTACAGTCAATGAAGGTAGGCGTTTGCTCAAAAGAAAATGAGAAGTGTCATGGAGTGGCAGAAAGAGCAGTGGGTTTGGAGTCAGAAGACTAGTGGGAGGTTCAGCATGGTGGTAAAGAACCTCGATTAGGAGCCAGGAAGCCTGGGGCTGAGTCTCCTTAGCATCTGTGTGATTCTGTAACTTAGATGGGCTTGTGGAAGGAATGAGTTAATATGTGGAGCGATGCCTGACCCATAGTAATCAGTGCGCGTTAAGAAGACTTGGCATTGGAGTCCTGGCTGTATCACTTACCAGCTGCATGACTGAGCCACTTGTCAAACTGCTCCAAGTCTCATTTGTACTCTTCTGTAAAACGAGGGACCCGCAGAGAATTACTCCAGAGAGGCGGCCGCCTTCGTCATCTCAGCAGACTCGGTCAGCCCTGGTAGTGTTGTTCATGGGGGTGGAACACGCCGCCAGGTCCTGGGCTCCAAGGCATCCATGTGGCCTTTGACATTATACCTGATAGCAAAAGAATTGGCTAAAGTCACTTAGACCCCTGTTTCCAAACTCTGTGTTTATTGTGATCCATAGTATGTACATTTACTTGATGACTCTGTGTGTTTGTGTATGTATATGTATATATGTATGTATGTAAATGTAACAAAAGTTTCATAAAGCAGTGTTTACTCTTATTATATGTGATGCATTGTAATATTTTCTATACCTTTCTGTTCTAGTTCTTGAAAAGTAAAAATTTTAATAATGGCTCTTAAAACAGTTTGAGAAACACTGACCCTAAAGATAGGCCAGCCATCATTACTGTCTTCCTCCTGTGTGACCTGGGCATCTTACAAAACCGGTCTGGTCGGCCCACCAGCAGGGGGTGTTTCGCCAGGGCTGTGGTGCCCTGAGCTCAGACATCGCCTGCATCGTGCAGTGAGTCTAGAATCAAGGTCCCACACCGAATTCCTGGCATGGATGACAGCGAGCTCTGGCCTCTTTAGGTGAATCTGCTGTCAGCCTTATGATGAGTGGGAAGGAGGAAGGAAAAGTCACGTGAATCATTATCAAATCAGTCTGAAAGTATAGCCTTCATGCAAAGGACAGTTGTTCGCAGACTTGAAGTATGAGATGCTGACCATGTGGCAACCCTTCTTGCATTACTAATCGTGGTAAAACCATCCTGACGGACTGGGGAAAGTCTGCCACTATAATAATAAGAGTTTCTGCTGCCTTTGCAGTAACGTCGGAATTGATTGCTCTCTGGCACATCAGCACCTCAGTGCCTCGGGAAGCAATTTCGTAGATTGTGGGTCTCCGAGCCTCTTCCTTTGCTAGTTAATGCCTCTGCTAAGCAGTGGGAAGAAGATGTAAAAGGAAATAAAGTGCACATATGTCCAGTTGGTTCATCCAGCTTCAATTTGCTGGGATTGGAGGTTGAAATAAAGTTTAGAGATTCACTCTGGGTTTTGTGAAGTCATGATCTAGTGTCTTTCCTTGGCCAGGTCAGTGTTGTAAGGGTGTGGCACGTGTCAGTAGATGGTCTTTCCATGAGATGTTTTTTAAAGATTTTATATATTTATTATTAGAGAGAGGGGAAGGGAAGGAGAAAGAAAAGGAGAGAAACATGCAAGAGAAACATCAGTTGGTTGCCTCTCACACATCCCAAACGAGAGCTGGCCCACAACCCAGACATGCGCCCTGATTGGAGATCAAACCTTTGACCTTCTAGTTCACATGCTGGTACTCAACCCACTCAACCAGGGCAAGATTTTTTTTAAAACAAATTATCTAAAGCTATTATTAATATTTTTCAGTAGCAATCAGTACCAAGCTAACCTGGGGGTTGGAAAGAAGAGAACCAGTGTTCTCACATGTGTTAGTATCTAGCTCGACCCTCATGACCAGCCTGTGAGGTCAGCATGTTAGGTGCAGCTTGCAGACTCACTGCGGTATGGTGCATGGCCTCTGTACATGCAAACCACTGTGGCATAGCGGATGTGATGTGTGTGTGGTGTATGTTGTGAGAATGCCGGGACACTGCACTCGTGAAGTGACACTGAACTACTGTCTTGCAGGGTGTGCACCATGGCCATGGCTAGTGTCAGGTTGCCCACCAGTATTTTAAGAAAACCAGATGCCTGGATTGGACTCTGGGGAGCAATACAAGGGACACCTTCACACAAGCTCTGTGCTTCCTGGAATCGATACTTATATTTTTCTAGTACCAAATTAAATGCATCAAATTATAAAACACTTTTCCATAACATTTTCTCACTGAGATTCCCAGGACTTTTACTACCTCCAGAATATATTTTCCCATTTTCCATAAGACTCAAAAGTAATGTAACCTCTAAAAAATCCACTAAGAAGACTCTGCAGAAAGTTGAGGATGAAGAGGACTCTGGTGAAGAGAGTGGCCATGACGAGCTGAGTGAGCAGGAAGAGGGGCCAGAGGACGACCCCAGCGTGGTCAGAGACTACAAAGACCTGGAAAAGGCCGTGCAGTCTTTTCGGTATGACGTTATCCTGAAGACAGGCCTGGATATTGGAAGAAAGTAAGTATGATGTGCATTTTATTACAAAGCCACTTTTCTTGTTGGCTGTTTTAATGTAGCATTATGAATCACTAGGCCCATATAATGGTGAAGAGCAACCATAGATAAGACCTTGTAGGAGACCTGTTTCAATCATTTCATTTTATATACGAGAATATTGATTCCAAAGAAGTCAAGTGACAGCCTGAAAATCTCATGTGCTTCTTGTTTCTGAACCTCCCTTAAGACTATAAAATGAACTATTGATTTTATGTTAATAGCATCTTTAAGGAGAAGAGGGATCACCATGTAAGATGTATATAGCAAGCATAAAATGCATCTGGATTTTACAATCTGGAAAACAGTGTGAAAAAATATCTCTTAGAATCAATGGAAGCTGTATAACATAGAGGTTAAGAATGCAGCCTCTCCTGACTGGTGTGGCAGAGCACCGACCTGCAAACCAAAGTGTCGCCAGTTCGATTCCCAGTCAGGGCACATGCCTCTGTTGTAGGCCAGGTTCCCAGTGGGGGCCACATGAGAGGCAACCACACATTGATGTTTCTCTCCCTTTCTGCTTCCCTTCCCCTCTCTCTAAAAATAAATAAATAAAAAGAAAGAAAATAAATTCATTCTTTTATTTAAAATAAAATATACTTTCCATACTTAAAAAAAAAAAAAAAAGAATGCAGCCTCTGCAGCCAAACTACTGACATTCTTATCCTGATCGTGTGTATGACCTTGGACATAAATTCTCTGTGCTCCATTTTCCTTATCTATAAAATGGGAATAATAGAACCTACTTCAGAAGGTAGTTGGTAGGACTGAATATTTCTCTAAAGTATTTATAACAGTACCTGACACACAGTAGGTAGTCAGTATGTGTTACTTATGATGATGAAAGTCCGTCCAGGCCAGGTGGTTCCATCAGCTGGAGCGTCCATCCTGCGCACCAAAGGGTTGCACATTTGATCCCCGGTCAGGGCACGTGGGGGGGCGAGTGGGCAAGGGATCAGTGCTTCTCTCACATCTGTCTGTCTGTCTGTCTGTCTGTCTGTGTCTCTCCCTACCTCTCCCTTCCTGTCTCCCTAAAATCAACAAATACATCCTCGTGTGAGGATTAAAAGGAAGAAAAGGAAGAACATAACTGTGTATGTTCATATAGAGTGCACAGAGATATTAAGTGTAACTTTGAAGATCCTCAATTTTAGAGGGATAGAGAGAGAGAAACATCCACTTGAGAGAGAAACATTGATCCTTTGCCTCCCATACACACAGGGACAGAGATCAAACCCGCAGCCCAGGTATGTGCCCTGACCAGGAATCAAACCCACAAGCTTTGGGGTTTGGGTTTGGAACGCATGCATGGGACAAGGCTCTAACCAATTGAGCCACCTGACCAGGGCTCAAGATTTCTTTAATATTCCCATTCTCTCCTAGACTAATTGTATAAGAATAGTGAGCCTCATCTCATTGTTCATTCATTCCTGTAGCAATCATTATGCACATACTGTGTGCAAGGTAAAAATTATGGTATGAACGATAAGTTCAGAAAGATTTCTTTGTGTAATGGGTACCTTTATGACCTAATTTAATGGCATAGTTTAATTTTTCAATCTGTGAAGCCTAAGGGCCCATAAAAGTGACTCTGAGCCCATCGGCACCCTGATTGGGCTTCGTTAATACTCTCTAAAATCTGGCAAACTCGGAAGGAGTGCTGTCCCTCCCTCAGAGTAATTGCTGCTGCTGCTGCTATTATTAAGGGGAACTCATTTGTCAATTGCCCGGAATCAGCTTCAGGAAGAAAGGGCACTGATTTTTGTCTGGATCCTCCCCGGGTCTAGTTGCCCCAGAGATTAAATTCAGGGAGATCAGCAGCCTCTGGACTGGAGTTTCCCCAACTGGCAGTGCAGACTAGTAGAGGATTTCTTAATGACCCCACCATACGTGTGGTGCCTGGTTTTTCTGTCAGAGCCCAGAGCAGGTATGTGAGGGAAAGGGAGTGATCACTCACTTTTGAGTCACAGGAACTACCACGTTGCAGGGAGCCGCTGCACCAGGAGTCAGGTGGGGGACCTGCCCTGTCCTGAGTGGGGCAGGTGCACGTGCTGAGCCCTCTCAGAAAGCCCCATCAAGGGACTGCTTACCTGCCTGAGAGTTACTAGCAAACCTTTGCAGCAGGTCAGCATCTGTTCAAAAGTCCCCTTTGGTCTCCCTGTTTTAGATTATACAGGAGCAGCTGACTTCACTTTCCCAGAACCCAAGCTGAAGATTTTGTGGGGAGGTAGGTCACTGTCAGAGTAAGCATTAATGGCAGGTGTGTTTCACAGACTTGTATAATGGATTTGAATATATTTCTATTTTAAAGCACTTTGACTTTTTTTTTTTTTTAAAGCAAAGTGGAAGATGCATTCTACAAAGGTGAACTCAGGCTGAACGGGGAAAAATTATGGAAGAAAAGCAGAACGGTGAGATGTTAAGACAGCCAGATATTTTTGTTGCTTTGCCAATGCTCAGTCAGTGCTGCTCCCAGGTTCCCTCGGGCTGCCTCCTCGCAGCATGACCCCTTCGGAGGTCTCCCTGGGGCCTGGTCACGCTAGAATCACCAGCCCGCTTCAGTCACACAGATCACTTGCTCTTTTGCAGCCATAATGACTTTGAGATGAAGCTTCCCCTTTCTTCTTTAAAGTTTTAAGATGACAATCAGAACTGGCAAAAATCTAATATTTAAACTTCTCAGTCCTTAATGTTAGTCCCTGTGAAATCATAATAATCAGACTAAAAAGAAACATTCAGTTTGTGCAGAGGGTCTTTGACCTGTGGCTCCCTGAGCTGAGCTGAGGTGTAGCCCTGCAGCCCGGCAGTTCCTCCCCCAGCGCCTGTAGGCACAGGGGCTGGCTGTCAGTGCAGGAAGTCTCTCAGAAGTGTTATAAGAAAATGTATTTGCACTGTCCAGTGTTGGTACAATAAATCATATATATAGGTTCTGTTAAATATATGTATTTTTGTAAAAGTAAATCACATAAATACATCTCAAATTAAAATGTTACTATTACTAGTATTTTTTGAATGGGGAATTATGGGTTATATTTTCTTCATGCTTTTTATTTTCATAATTTTGTACAAGTATGGATCACTTTCATAATTGGAAAAAAACAATGATGAAGGTAAAAGTTAATGAAAATAAAGTCTGGAGGATGCAGACCTATGAGGCATTGGCAGATGTAGTCTCACTCTGAGTCACTGTCTGGGGACAAGTGTCCCAGGGAAGGCAGACACACTTTTGGAGGTGGTTTTTATTTTGGCTTCTCTCGTGTTTCAAAATACCCCTGAGACAGAGGGCCCCGTGAGCCAATGGCGTGGGCCTGGGTGAGCACCAAGGCTTTCTCCAGAGTCCTTTCTCCCAGGATCCAAGTGGACAGGATGGGGACCTCTGCACTTGGGTCAGCTGTCAAGTCTCAAGGCCCATTATCCCTCTGGTGGCACCTGACCTGGCTGGTTCACACTGTGGGTGTCAGTCATTGCTTGGTGCTCTGCGGGAAATCAGGCACTCCAGACATGCTTCTGGAGATCAGGCCCTTCCTGCCCCTTAATTGCTTTTCCGTCGTTGTGGCTCAGCCCCCTTCTAGCCAGCCACAGTGTCCAAAGGTGAGACCTGCTCTTGGTGCCGGATGCCCCTGTGCAGGGTCTCGTTTACAAACACCACCAGGCTGTTTCTGCCCCTCTGCTTTGATATGTTGTTCACTACAGCCTAATTGCTGCATCTGCATTCTACCTTGGGTGTTCTGTCTTCTCAGCTGCCTTCCAGATTTCCTCTGAGGGTCAGCAAAGGAAGGGGCCAGTATTAACACTGGGCTGCCTTGTTACTAGGCGACCTGGTAGCCATAGTAACTGCAGCTAAGGGGAGATTGGATTGGAAATGTAGATATTTGGAACAGCCCCTAATCCCAGCCAGTTTTGCTTTGTGTCTGCTGTGCCATCTCCCACATTAGGAAGGACAGGGCTTTGCAGGGAGTAAAGAACACCTGCCCTTGCGTGGTCTGCACCGTGGGGCCTGTGCCTGGCTGCTGGCCCTAAGGGGCCAGGCGCTTGCCTGATGCTGTAGCTGTAACCCTGGCTGTCTGCAGCTGAGCAAAGTTTTTCTGTGAGCTGCAAACCAGTTGGGGCCCAGAGTGCTATAGGTGCTGGTAACTGTTGACTCAAGTGTTTGGAGCCCAGATGTGGGGACTGAAGGCTTCCTAAACCACCTCTCCCTGGGATCAGCTGGGGAAAGGAAAAGAGTTCCTTCCCTGTTCTGTGCCCTCGAAGTAAGCTGCTGAAGGGACCCACTTGTCAGGCTCCTGTGAGCCTGCCCTTCTCTAAAGGGGCAGACATCGCCCCCGGTGTTCTGGAAAAGGGTACACAAGAAGGGTTGCCTTTCCTCCACATGCCTTTGTACTTTTTAAATTTCCTGTCAGGTACATATATTAAAAATGAATTTTAGTGGAAGAGTTACGCCAGAAAAGGTAAAGCAGAGATGCCAAGCCTTGTGTTTTTGGACATTAATTTTAAGTGTCCACAGTTGGAGCTGCATGGTCATTATTTTTTTATTGGAGCCAGCAGAACTACACACAGGACGATCCCCACCCTCCCCACCCCGCGCAGATGATTCCTAGGTTAGTCCATCCTTCAAACCTAAGGGGAGAAGCAGCCTTCGTGCCCAGCTGTGGTGTGAGCCTTTGCTTCTCAGCCTCAGAGGGGGAAGTCAGTGGTTTAGAATAGGCCCCCGTGTGAGTGTCCATCTGGCGCTGTGGGCTGCCTGGATTGGCCAGGTGGCATCGTGACGAGCAGCTGTGCACTCCCCATTTTGTAGACCAAGTACTGGGCCCACAAAAGCCTTGTGTGGGTGGAAGAACAGATGTTCGTTCCGAAGGCATGACATGAGTGCCTCAGACAGCACTGGTTGGGACATAAGGTGAAAGCCATCACTTGGCACCATGCCTCTTAAACAGCCTACCATCCAGTAGGCTTTTGAGTGGTTACATGTCCCCACATAGAGTCCATGGCCCACGTATGGGGCTCCCCTCCCCCTTGGAAGAGTGCCTCTGGTCATCCCTGGCTTGTCTTCTAGTAGAAGTTGCTTTAGCCCCTTCCTGAGTTGCTGGGAAGCTCCCCTGGGATCCAGAATTGCCAGGACCAGGTATCCATGTGGCCACAATGGCATGACTGTCCCAAGGCATGCCCTGCCCTCTCAACCCAGAGCTCCCATCTGGGCAAGAATGGGTTTGACCTCAGTCCCTCCAACCCACTGCATCAGCATCCAGCTTGACCCTCTTTTCCATGGCATTCCATCTTTGTGAGTTGAGTCCTCTCTCTTTTTTCAAGTGTAGTCGGTATATAATTTCCAACTTGTTACATTAGTTTTAGGTGTACAATGTGGGGAGTATTTGAGCCACACCACACAGGGACTGTCCACAAGTTGCCAGCCGTCCAAGGAAGGACCCTGACTGGTGCTGAGCTGCGCTTAATCTAAGGCGCCTCCGAGCCTGGCCCTGGGAGTGAGTGACCGCTACAGAGGAGTCCTACAGAGGAGTTGGGACCTTTTCTCACCTACCCCCCAGGTGACAGGCACCTAGTGAAAACTCCAAGCAGAGATGTTTGTATTGGCCTGCATTTCCCAAGCTATAATAAAGTCTCGGTTTTCTTTTAATTTTCAGGTGAAAGTGGGAGATACATTGGATCTTCTAATCGGAGAAGATAAAGAAACAGAAACAGAGATAATGATGCGGATTCTCCTGAAAAAAGTGTTTGAAGAGAAGACCCAAAGTGAAAAATACAGAGTAGTCTTACGACGCTGGAAAACGTTAAAATTGCCTAAAAAGAGTATGATTAAATAAATGAATTGCTTTTTTTTTTAAGTGATAAAGCTGCTGTCTAATGGTGGGGAAAGGAGCTAGCTAAAAAAACAGACATTTTTATTTAAATGCTCGTATCCTTTGTGCAATCTACTGGGCCATCCTATGGAAATTGGAATCCGTATCTCAGAGACACTCCTGGTGGCCTGGGTTTTCCTCCTGGACTTAACTTGTGCTTGTTTGGGCCTCCTGGGCAGGAGTGAGGTGTGCCCCGAGTGCCGGAAGCCCAAGCAGGGTTTTAGGGACCGGCCTGCTGTCTCCGTGTTGGCCGCCTCACGAGGCGGTGTGGAGTGCACTGGCCTGGGTGTCCGTGTTCTCATTCCAGCTTCATCCCTGCTGGCCCGCTTCCCTGGCTTCCCTGGCTTCCCTGGCTTCCCTGGCTTCTTAAAGGAAAACCGAGCCAAGTGAAGGTCGCCCTTCACAGCCCAGGGGAGCATCGGGAGCCCCCATCCACCACTGGCCTTTCTGAATCACCCACATGCTGGCCTTAGTTCCCCTTTCCGTTTGTCTTTACGAGTCTGGGTGAGTGAAGGTCCACTGGATTCCAAGTGGGAAGTCAGTTAGGGCTCATTTAAAATTAATTGTCTGGGGCAGGGGTTGATAAACTAAGGCCACCAGAGGCCTTTCGTATGGCACTCAAAAATGGTTTTTACATTTTTAAAAGGTTAAGAAACAAAAAGGAATGTATGACATAGACCTTGTGTGGCTCACAGGGCCTAAAATATTTACTATCTTACCCTTTACAGAAAAAATCTGATGACCCCCCAGTGTAGGGTAATAGGCTGAGGGTTTAATTTTCAGGTGAAAGTAGAAAATAGATTTTTATCAACGAAGAGAATAAAGACTCAGAAGTTAAGTATTCTAATTCTTAAGAGTTACAAAAGGGACAAAGCTTACAAACATAGAGTAGTATTAGAGGGTACACCTGCAAATATAGGCCATTTAAGGAAAGGCCGCCTGCATAAATACACTAGTCTTTAGACTCCTGGGGGCTATTCCTTAGCACTGGCAGGGGCGGCTCGAGTGGAGCATGAGGCTGGTGGCGGCTCGGGGAGAGCTCTGAGCCTGAAGCAGTGGGCTGTTTGGGCCCATGACTCTGGAAGGCTTTTACCAGCTCAGCTTTCAGAAGGCCAGGGAACATCAGTTTTTATTTGAAAGCTTAAATAAGTTCTCAGGAAGAAATGATAGTGTATCCTGTGCGCTGAGACAGGGAATTTTTCTATTTTACCACTTATTAATCGGGCTCTACTGTCATCAGTGAAAATAATATGTTTAATTTTGACATGTTATGAATTGTAATTTAGATTATATTGATATCCATACTTTTTCTCATTTCCTTCACCTGTCCCTTTTTCACCCTCCCTGTTTCTTGCTGCCTCCCCCTCCTTTCTTGCTTCTCTTGACTTTATGAAAAGCAACAGTACGCCCAAGAAGCCTTGGATGGTGAGGGATAGCATGTGACATGTTGGGGGTCCTGGTTATTAGGCTCAGTCTTGCCATTAGCAAGTTGGGTGACCTTGGTCATAGTTCGGCCTCAACCTCTCTGAGCTTCAGCTGCCCCCTTGGTCAGATGGGGATCAGGATACTGATGGCCTGCCCTGTGTCTTTGAAGGAGCAAGAAAGTGGGAATGTACAAAGGCTGATGAGAGGTGGTAGGCAGAGAGCAGGAAGGGCCACGTGAAAGGCTTTTTGAAGCTGCTGGTAATTCGTACCTAACTTAGCTGCCTGGCAGGGTGTGACCCATTCCAGATGTTTCCGTTTTTAAAAATCAAACTAAGAAAGAAGATATCTGATGATGGAGAATGTTGGTCTGATCACAGCATGTGGCAAAAACTGATCAGAAACAAAAGCAGTTCATAAAGATATATGAAATTCTTGCAGCTCGCTCATTCATTACTTGGCCCAAATGACAAGCTGCTGTTATTTATAGCGCTGTCCTGGCAAAGCCTCCTCAGTGAAGAGGTGGCCAACGCGGTGAAAACATAAGAGATTTGGATGTTTCTCATGCACTGGTTCTGAACTGGGGGTGATTTTGCTGCCTGGGTACATTTGGTGAGGTCTAGAGAACTTTTGGGTTGTCACAGCCGAGGAGGTGACGTGGGCATCAAGTGGACAGAGACCAAGGACACTAGTGAACACCATACGTACGGCATCCCGCCAGCCCCCACCACACAGAGGGCCCTACCCAGCACGTCCACAGTGGTGAGGCTGAGACACCCTCCTCCAGCAGGGCGGCAAGGAAGATTTTTGATGGTAGTTCTCGTTTTCCCAGAAAGGTATGAAAAGGCTGCTAGTGTTATGTTTGTACTTTTTAAAGAACCAGCAGTTTCAAAGTTATGCTTTGGTAGAGGCCCACCTAGCCCTTTTACCAGTAACAGTTAATCCTTCCAAAGAAAGGACGCTCTTCTAGGAAATATGGTGCTAATTGCATTTCTCTGCTAATAGCATTTACAGCTTTCCTGGAAAACTATATAGATGGCTAGGCAATAGTTTCATCATCATTTTAGCATTTGGGGGACAAGTCATGGTTTATTTGGTTGATAATGATTGGGGAGGTAGAAACATAACTACCATTTTTCAAGAAACTAAGAAGAAAACAGATTTCAGTTGGGGTGGCAGTGTGTGTTCCGTGAGCCTTGAAGGGTGAGCAGTGTATATCAAAACATTCTAGTAAAGTTCTGCTTACTTTTGTTTGTTTAAGACAGAGGGGAAGGGAGGGAGAAGGGGAGAGAAACATTGATTGGTTGCCTCTCATACATGCCCTATCGGGGACCCAACCTGCAAACCTAGGTGTGTACCTTGACCAGGAATGGAACAAACATTTTGCAGGAAGCCTCCCAACCAACTGAGCCACACTGGTCAAGGCTCTGCCTTATCTTGGTCATATATTTTTTGGCTTTCAAAAAGTTACTGTCAGAATTACCGGACAATTTACTGATGATCTCAGGGAGTAGTGAAGGAATTGATATAAAGTGATATAAAGTCCATCAAGCAGACTCAGAACAGAATTCGTGTCTCCCAAACTTCTATCTTTCTCTTGATTTTTGGAGAGAAATATCAATCTGTTGTTCCACTTAATTAGGCATTGATTGCTTGAGTCTCGTATGTACCCTTACTGGGGGTTGAACCCACAACCCTGGTGTACCTGGATGATGCTCTAACCAACTGAGCTACCTGGTCAGGGCCAAACTGCATTCTTTCAGTGAGTCACATCAGTTGCTTGAAATCAGCCTTCATGCCCAGCCTCCACCTTCTGTCATTTCTCTCTCTCTCGTCTTCCTGTATTTCCACAGGTCCTCTGTGACTTTAGCCCACTATTCTCGTGTGTGATGCATATCTTTTTGTATGTATTCTTGTAAAATGTGTTTGCTGTTCTGTGTCCATATATTTAAATTTCATAAATGATATTACTATACATTTCTTTTTGTATTTTCTTCATTCAGAATAGTTTTAAGATCCATCCATGGCACTGTAGGTACATCTAATCCATTGCTTCTCTCTGCTGCGCAGTAAGACCCAGTGTGCATCCCCCACGTTTTGCCTGCCCACTCTCCCGGTGACTTTCTCCCAGACTGCAGTACGCACAACTGCTTGCATACTCTGCACAAGGCTGCACCAGGCTGCCCTCCCACCAGCAACACACACAGCCCCTGGCACGACCAGCTTTCTGGCTTTTGCCAGTCTAATATAGGTCTGAAGAGGTATAGTAACTTTAACATGCACTCTTCATTAGTTCTCCTCCCTCTCCACACGTGCGCCCCCAGCTTGCTGCTTGGGATTTCTCTGAGGGCTCTGAGATGGGGTGCAGCCGTCTGTGACTGCCACTCTCCTGTTGCTCTCGAAGACATGCTTGCTGGTCTTTAAAAATTTTTTTGTTCATCATCATTGCTTAACACACCAAGTATGTCAAAAGCAGGTTAGTGAAAAGCCTACAACTTGCAGGGTCCTGAGGACACGGGTCGCTCACTAGGCACTTGTTGACGCCGTTGTAGAGATGTCAGTGGTGCCCAGCGGGCCTTCCCTCTGGGGACTACATGTTGAAAGCTGGAGAGACCTTCCCCATGGGAGACGAGAGAAGCCCAAAGACTGTGGTCAGGGCTCAACAGTGAGGGTCTCAAATGGGCAGTTTCTGTTTAGAGGTCTGGACTGGCCGTAGCCACTTGTGCAGCCCCGCTCAAAGGGGTTAGATACTGGGAGATACCTCCCCACAGGGTATGTGGAGAATTTCCTTTAGGGTTGCAGGGGAAATCCCGTAACTCTTGATTCTGGGACAAAGGTGGGGCCACAGTGACAGCAGCCAGCTCGGATCTGAGCCCCACAGTGACTGTTAGTAACCCGAAGACAAGGCCCCATCACTGGGGGCCTAACAGACGCTGAAGCGTGTGCCTCATCCCACCTGGAACCGTGCCTGTGCTGAGATTTCAGCTCGTCAGATCCAAGGGGACTCAGGTGTAGTACCTTGTGTCAGAAACAGCAGAAACGGAACCCAGAAAGAACGGATTTCTGCAGCCCGTACTCAACAGGAGGGTCGGGAAACTGCGCGGACCTGCAGGTGTGCCTCCAGGCAGCGCCCAGCCCAGTTCCACCTGCGACGTGGCTTCGGCTGTCTGCGCCGAGGGGGAGTGCCAAGGTCTCAGCCTGCGGATACCACATGCATCTGGAAAATCAGTTTCAGGCAAGAGATGTCAGGTTTTGTGCCATTTACCATCAGAACCATCCCTCCAAGCTAAACGGGCTTAGCTGCCAACTAGTGAGGGTGGGACTTGTGAGAATTATGGAACAGTGCCCAGGAGGTAGCAGGCGTGACAAACACTTTTGCTGAGTGAGCTTCCTTTAGAGGCAGAGATGAGTCTTTCTGTGTTCCTTGTTCTATTTCCTGTGGCATTTAAAGCTTCCGTGGGTCAAATACTCTCTCACTTGGATGGATCCAGAAGCTCAGAGACTGGACAGTTAGCAAAAGTTAAATGGTGGGGGACCACTAGGTAGAGAGATGGAGAAGTTCACTGCACACAGCTACACAAATGGCAGCTCAGAAACCACAAGCACAGACTTTGGCGTCAGCCTGGCCAGCATTAGAGGCTCCCAGCTCTGCTACCTGCCTGACCTTGACCAAGTTACTTAACCTCCGGAAGCATCCCCTTTTGTAAGGGGATACAAATATCTAGCCCACGGGGTTTCTGCGAGGATTAAAGGAGATAATGCTTGTCAGGTCCCAGCACATTCTTGACTCATTACAGGACAGGGGCTCAGAAGATGAGCACTCTCACGAAAAACAGAACTCCCTGTAATTTAGGAACCTATCGTCACTTCTGAATACACAGCTGTCACACTGCAGGAGCTTCTGGAAGGAGCAGCAGCAGCATTACATGCTCTCAACCTCCGTCAAGAACACAGTTCACCATTTGGACTACCAACTCCATTTAGAAGAACAAATGAATTCTTACCCCTTAAATAAAATCAGCGGACATGCTTAGCCATGCAGAAATGTTCTGGCAAAGCCATCACAATTTGGCCGGCGCTCCTACACCCTGATGCTGAAGCATACGGAAACCTGCCTCTTCCCACTGACCCGACAACAGCTGAGATTTGGTTTGCCACTAGTTAAGTAGTCGCTTTTATTTTAACACAACAGGAAACCACTTATTTTAGCTGAGATCTATTTCTAATAACCAGGAAAGTACTAAGCCTCCCATTTCTGCATATGCACATTAACTCACAGTGAGTTCTGTGGTCACCGTAGTGCGGGAGTTCTCAGAGTGCAGCCCCCCAACATTAGCACAGCATCACCTGGGAATGCAAATTCTTAGGCCCCACCCCAAACCTACCGAATCAGAACCTCTGGTGGTTCTGCTGGAAACCTACTGAATCAGAACCTCTGGTGGTTCTCGTGGGTGTTGATGGATTCCCGCCCAGGTCCCCTTTGCCACTGCACCCATCTTGTAGCTGTTGTGGGCCAGTGGCTCTTCTGGAGTCAAAGGGGGCCCCCCGGCCAGGCGGGCTATCCTGTTCCTGTGGGCACTATGTCAGACACATCAGTACCCGGCAGTTCATGTTCTGGGGCTGCTCCGTGGATGGGAATGAAGCTGAGGCGGTGAAAACCAGACTCCTGCTCATGACCTTCCCTGGCCCCATCCTGCTTTCCTCTTGCTCCGGCTCGTGCACGAAAACCCCCATCTCAGGCTCCACCCCCAGGGAATGCGATCCAGAGCAGTTCATTTCACAGTCACAACAGATGTACTCTTCCCAGCACATGTCTGTCCACATTTCCCACGATCATTTCACCCAGGGCGATTCTAAAACCAGCATGTCCATGCCTAAGCCCCCCGGAGGCGTGGAGGATGTGGGGGACAAGGCAGCGACCTGCGACTCTCTCGGGATCTGAGCCCGTATGCCCTGTGGCTCGGGGCGCTGAGCTCCTGAGATACGTGACAGGGTCGAGGCAAACGTGGATTCAAATCCTAGCCCTGCGATTTGCAAGTTATGTCGACTTGGGCAACAAACAGACTTCTCTCTCCTTCCTTATCACAAAACAAAGACAACAGTGCCCGAACACTGCCTTGTTATGAGAGTTAAAAGAGATGACATCAACATCATTCAGGGCCTGAGCTTTCTTGTCTTAATAGGCATAGCTACGGAACCTACCTCACAGGGTCTGTGAGGGGATTCTGAGAGAGGACCCAGGTACAGCTCTCAGTGGGACTGGCACAGGTACATGGTGAACGGATGCTAGGTGCCACGTGAAGGAGCAGGCTCAGTAAACGTCCATCCCTCTCCTACCTCTGGCCGGGGGATTTCGGATTCATCTGGAAGCTCCAGAAAGAGTCCATCCCATCTCACCATTCCACCGATAACGGTAACTAACTGGGTGTGGCGCTCTTATCTCTGAGAACTAGTTTTTGTAAGTAAGTTCCCCTACGTTAAAACTCTCTGAATTTCCTTTTTGGTAGACAACAAAGATACTTATAGCTAGAAGGGGCTTAAAGAATTTAGCTAAGGCTTCCTTCAAGTCTTGCTTAAACTTGATCTTGCATTTTTAGCCTTTGGGGCTGCAGCCCCTGGCCAGCCCCAGCCTGCACAGGGCTCACAACTGAGCAAATACTCACTGCAGGAGAAGCGTTCCAATCCCAAATCACAACACACTTTATAAGAAATTGTGACCCTTGGACCAAAAAAAAAAAGTTCCTCTGACAGTTTGAGATATTATTTTCACTATGAAATATTGTTTAAACTTAATGACTTATAATTAGCCAAAGAGTTGAGGAAAACATGTATCCTTTTGCTGCCAGTTAATAATATGTTAGCTTTGAAGAACTGCATCCCATTTAACCAAAGAGAAAGAGTGGAAGTAGCCTGGCCTCAGGCAGGGAGCCACCAGCCCGCCCAGAAAGGTAAGGTCAAATACCCACCCAGGAGAGGTAAGGTCAAATGCCCCTCCCGCTGCGTGGCCAGGAAGCGGTTTGTGTAGAAATGGGCTAGCATTTATTTGGTGACTTCACAGTCGCTGAGCTGTGACAGACCGAACCCCAGTGAACTGTAGCCCTGACAGCAGAGGGTGGGCGCCCCGGAGGCCGAGGTGCCCCTGAGCACCGATGTCCTCCCCTGGGAGTGGGCGAGGAGGCTGCACAGAAGGGCAAACACCCCAGACACGCTCTGAGAGACCCCTCTCTAAGGAAATAAGATGTTACAAGACCATATTTTTCTTTTTATAACATTTTATATAACTCATAAAACAGTGCTTGTATAAAAATTCACACAGAGTTGCTAGAGAGCATACAATTTCCAAAAATGTCCTGGGTTTTTGTTACATTCAGTTTTCTAAGGATGCACTCAAATCAATGGTAAAATGCAGACATTATGTGGTATTTCATTATCTTTGGTAAAACTATGCTCATTATTTTGTCTCCTCACAGTATTAACTCTGATATCCACTTTGTGCAGGGTCTGCTATCACTAGGACGTCAGAAAAAACATTAAGGCTGGATCTACGCAAGGCAAGTGGGCGGCAGCAGCCCCTGGGCCCCCACCCCACTCCACATCATCTACCTACATGGGCAGCGGCAAAGCCCAATGACCCAATCAGGGGTCTTGAAACAGCCCCCTCTCAGTCGGGCAAGAGGCAGACATCTGGGGGAGGAGGTGGAAACAGAGGCCGCCTCTATAGGAATCCGAGTGGCCACACTGTGTAGTCCAGTCGGGCCAGTGACTCTTAACATTTAAAACAGCGAATCCACTTATCACTACGGAGATCCCACTGGCTGGTTGATGGGACAGCCCTCCCTCCAACTTAAAGAAAAGAGGGCGCAGGGCCGACACCAACTGGGAGGGGCAGACGATCCCCCACGACACAAGACGAAACTGTACTCCCTGTGAGACGGTTGCCGTCGCGCCGACACCGCCAGAACAAACTGAAGCAGGATTAGAACACTCGGTACATTCGAGGCTCCCTTCATACATTCTTTTAAAACCTGCAAACACAGAAAACGAGGGACACTAACACCTGTGGTGACATGCTACTTAACGTCAGAATGTGTGTGTGCTAATCCTTTTGTTCTCCAGATACGAGGCCCCCCCCCTCAAAAAATCCAAAAACAAGTAAAAACAAAAGAATTTAGATGGAGAGGGGGAAGGGATTCACCAACAGATTTTATGGAAAACATGAAATTTTGAAAAAAGTAGTTTGTACTTCTATTGCTTTGTGTAAAAAACTGCCCCTGAGCCTACCTGTATGGCTGACTGAGGACGCCATACAGAAAGAGACAGGACCTGCGTGCATCCCCTTGTGGGGTCATCCAGGGGGACAGCAAACAGCTCCCCGAGTGCGTCCACCTCTCTGCACTGAAAGGGAGTCTAAGGTTTGGGGAGAAGAAGCCCTAAGCAGGAAAGGTATTGAGGAAACCACGGAAATGCAGCTTCCAAAAAACAGAACATACTCTAGGTTATGGAGAAACAGCATTCATTCTTAGAACCTAGAACCTGTTGATTTCTTTAATGTGGGTGGGTAAGGTTTTTATAAAAATTATTAATAAATGATTGTGCTTCTGAAGTTGCGGGTCACGTTCCACCCCCTGGAAGCAGAACAATTTCACATGGCTTGGAATCCTCTTGGATGCATCCTCGAGACCAGAACAAACTCCACGGCACACCCTCCAACCAGCAGGACTGGTGGGCGAGGGCCACTGCCATCTTTGGGTAGAGCGTGCGTGTGCGTGTGTGAGCGTGCATGCACGCACGTGTGTGTGTGTGGGGGGGTGGGTAACTAAGGCATTGAGAAAGGCCCAGGTGATGGGGGGAGAGTGAGCCTCCTGGCTGCTGCAGTCCCTTCTTCTTTCCAGGCACAAAGCGGTTGAACTTGGTATTTATGTAGGTCCCCTTCATCTCCCTTCAGTTTTTTAATAAGAAAAGTATGCGCGCATGTGTGGGTAGGTGAGAGTCATTAAATCCCTGCACATTTCTAAATTTCAGAAATTTGAGGCCTGCAGTTGCAACAGAAATAATCTGTAAGTGACATTTAAAAGCGAATTTACTTAAGTTACACCAGCAAGTTTACATTGCTCAGAATCCTGTCATATATATTAAAAAAAAAAAAACAAAGCCTGCTCGGTACAGGCAAAATTATGTCATACAGCCAGCAGAACTGAAGTCCTAATCAGCTGCATAAAGACAATTCACAGATTGTTTCTATTATTTCTGCATTTTAAGGTAGCAAAATATTAAGCCACAAAGGTTTTATGACTACCCTGTGTGACTCACTCATTTTTTCGGGCTTCTGGTATGATGTATTCAGTTTGAGTTAGACTGTTTCCCTTCCCTCCTAGGCATTTGGCCCCCAAAGTCTGATAAATAAAAGTATTGTTTTTAAGGACTTTAACTATTTGAGAAGTTTCCTGGTTAGAACTCTTGGAGAACACACCACTAGCCTGAAGCAGTTTGACCTTCTCAACCAGTGAGAAGAAATGTCTCACCCCAAGGCCAAGGGACCAGCCGGATGGAGGACAGCAGGCTCTTCTAGGGGGTCTGAGGGGAGAGCTCTGAGTGGACCCTGGGAACGGACATGGGTGTCCCACTCAGACAACCGTGTCCTCCCAACAGCAGGCGTCCCCGAGAAGGCCCGAGGGGCTGGGCCCACCCTGAGGACCACGGACACACACTGAGCGGAGGAGCGGACACTGCACTGTGGGGAAGGACACACACACACACACAGCTCCCAGAACCCCGGTTCTGCGCGCGCGCACACACACACACACACACAGAAAGTAAACAGTTCTCGGCGAGTCCAAAGAGACCCATCCTTAAATCAAACAAGAAGCCAATTATTCACACACACTGTTCTCCAAGGAAATGTGTCTACCCCTCCAACCAGCATCCTCATGTGGAGAAAAAAAGAGGCAAGTGGAAGGACACAGCTCACATGACACCGTGAACATGTTTCCATGTCTATCTACATTCATATCATCATCATCATCATCATCATCATCATCATCATCCAGTGTTCTTGTCTACAGAGAGTGAGCCCCACATTCTACTGACCCGGCAATGCCGAACAGGCCAGGCCGTGAGGAAGCCCTGACCTTCGCGCTGTGGCGGAAGGGAAGGAGCACCCCAGGGCAGAGAGGACACCACACTATTCCACCCCATCTACTGCCATCCAGGGGCATCTCGGCTCTTCCGAAACCGGATGTGAAAGGCAGGGTCAGTAGAGTGGGTCTCTGCACCACCTGAAGTTACTATCAGCCATCACACCCAAATGTGGCCATTCTAAAAATTCCATAAATCTGAAACTACCTTGAAAAGAAATCCCAGTAACTGAAGCCACCTAACAGTAGTTCACCTTGAATATTTAAAAGATTCCTTTTAAAGAAGAGCCCAATGATCTTTTAAAAAGGGATTTCCTTTCAACAACAACAACAGCTACAAAAGGAACTGATAAAAATGGAAGATGTAAAATGTGGGCAGAGGAACAAGAGAGTTGCTGAATTTGCATTTCAAATCGAGAAGAAGGGGGGGACAGAGCCAAGGCGAGAGAACCCCTGCTCCTGAGGCCTCTGCTCTCCCAGCCCAGCCACCCCCACACTGGCTGCACCGCCGGGGACTCAGGGCCAAAGTCAGAAGTGGGAGACACCAAACGTAAGGCTTCTTTCTTGTAGTGGGGTGGGTGTGTACATGTGCAAAGTAGTGAGCCCCTTCCCACCGACGTAAGGTGCGAGTCTGTGGGTACCATACACATGCTCCCGAGAAGGCCCAGGCCCTTGGCTACCCGTCACTTCTCCACTTTCTTGGCTTTCTTCAGGATGTCACATTTTTTCCTGTTGGGGCGGCGGCACCGTTCGTCGATGCTGGGGATACATTCGTAGTGCCACACCTCTTCCATCTTCTCCACGGGGTACACGGCCTCCACATAGTGGCGGATGAGCCGGAGCCGTGTGGGGTCCAGCTGCTTCTTGTTGCAGGCCCCAGAGTGGTTGTACTGCAGCCGGAGGTTCTCGGCCGTGAAGAGTTCGGGGAAGAGCCTGACGAGGAGCCGGGCAGCGAAGTTGCCCACCGAGAGGCTCTGCTGCACGATCTCGCGCACCTCCTTGTCCGACAGCAGGTACGGGGAAGGCACCGGGAAGTCGGGCGACGGGACCACCAGCTCGTCCAGAGGGATCTTGCAGAAGTCCTTGCTGCTTCTCTCAGGGGGCAGTGGGGGCCCTTCAAATTCCTCTCGGAACCTCTCGGGGTTGATTGCATAGCTCGCCAGGTCTCTGCACTCGGGGCCTGGCACGTGGACTTTGCGCTGCTGCTGGTAGGAGCGCCTCTGCTCCGTGTCCCGGCGCCGGCAGCGCTCGTCCAGTTTGCCCACAAACTCCAGCGTCCAGACCCGGTCGTTCTTGGCCCGGGGGTAGAGCAGCTGCACATAATGGCGAATGAGCTTGATGCGGGAAGGGTCCAGCTGCTTTTTGCCCAGGGAGCCGCTGCAGTTGTACTGCTTGCGCAGGTTCTCGTGCGTGAAGAGTTCGGGGAAGAGGTGCACCAGCAGGCGTGAGGCAAAGTTGCCGATGGACAGGCTGCTCTCATAGATGCTGCGCAGCTGCTCCTTGCTGAGCAGGCAGTCGGCACCCGGCACCTCGAAGTCAGGCTGAGGGATCTCCAGCTTGTCAAAGTCAATGGGCACCAGCCAGATCTTCTTGGACCGCCGGCCTGGCCGCTCACCCTCGAAGCTGTCCTCCACTTTGACCACTGAGATGTCGTCGGGCAGGCTGGAGGAGTCGTAGCAGTCGTCCCGAGGGGGATCCCCCTCGCTGCCCCCGTCCAGCCCCAGCCCCTCCAGCTCATCGTTGATACGCTGGGCACACTGATGCAGCCAGGCCTCCTCCTCCTGCATGTCGGGGAAGTAGATCTCCGTGTAGTTGCGGATGATCTGCAGCCTCTGCGGGTCCAGCTCCTGCTTGCCGGCGTCCCCATAGCAGCTGTACTGCTCGCCCAGCTTCCGGTGGTCAAAGAGCTCGGGGAAGAGCCGGTGCAGGAGGAAGACCGCGAACTCTCCTGGCGACGAGGCTTCGTCCAGGAACTCGGTGAGGTCCTGTGTGTCCACCACATGGTCGGAGGCTATGGTGCTGCTCCGATCCAGGGACAGGGCCTCCTCCTGGTCTTTGTTGTCCAGGAAGTGGCTGGGGTCCACCTGCTCAGCCTCGAAGAAGCCAGCGACCTGGCTCCCCGGCTGGCTGTCCTCCATTTCCCGCTGGGCCCAGAAGCGGCTGAAGAAGTCGTTCAGCTGGGGCAGGCACTCGGCCTGCCACACGGCCGTGTCCTTCACCGAGGGGTAGTAGACCTCCACATAGTTGCGGATGAGCTGCAGGTGCAGCGACTCCAGCTTCCTCTTGGCTGCAAAGCCGCAGGCACTGCAGCCCCGGGAGAAGTCCACGTCGCTAAAGAGCTCGGGGAAGAGCTGCACCAGCAGGCGACAGGCCAGGTCGCCGCCCGACAGGCTCTGGTCCACGATCTGCTTGAGTTCGGCGGCGGTCAGCTGGTACTCAGGGGGTGGCTGGAACTTGGCCACCATCTCTGTAGGACTCACCTGTTTCTTAATGCGGCTCACCTCCAGGGACAGCAGGTCCACCTTGCTGTGCAGCTGCGACATGTTGGAGGACAGTGTGTTGAGCATGTAGAACATCTTCTGGATTAGAAAGTAGATGTTGGGGTCGCTGTCGGTGGCTGCAGCCGCACCGACACTGTCCCGCTTCTGTGTCTCGTTCAGGAGCCGCAGTGGCGAGGGGCTGTTGCTGGGGTTTGCCTTCTCCAAGAGCTCATATGTGCTGAGCATGTCCCCTGCAGGAGGGTTCTTCTTCTCCATGATCTTGTGCGAGATGCCGTACAGGGGCTTCTTGTAGGAGGGGGCGCTCAGGTCACCGCAGGGCTCCTCCTCGCCCGGCCACACAGAAACCAAGTTCTTGCCCCTGCCAGTCTGCTCCCCATTGCCCTGGCAGGGCGAGCTGTTTTCCCGGTTCCTCATGCCTGCTAGAAGTGCCTGGAAAACAAAAGCTGTGTTAGGGGGGTGTTCTAATTTACCACACTAGACAGAGGTCTGTCACACACACACAGGGACCAAGGTCAATCGCAGGAGCATCTGAAGAAATGCTTTGCCTTGCCCTGGAGTCATCCGGCCTGTCCCAGAATCCCAGCGCAAAAACCTGCTCACGCTTCCTCCACCCTGAGAGACTCAGAGGGGACTGGGGAGGCTTCAGGTTGCTGCAGGGCCCAGGCACTGGGCTTGTTGCTCACAAGGCCTGACAGGAGGTGAGCACAGGGGCTAGCGAGGCCAGGCAGGAACCTGCTCAGGACGGGAGTGAACCCATGGGAACACGAGAAGCTCCTGTGGCAGCTCTGCCACGGACGGGCAGGTCACCTCATCAGCTCAGACTCCAGTGCTCTCAGGCAGGGGTGTTATAATCACTCCTGCCCCCGGCAGCTGTGGCATGTCCTCCAGGCTGCAGCTCTAGGAGAACAGACGTCACCACTCAGGACAGCTGAGATGCATAGCGGTGAGCAGGGACAAAAGGTCCGGACAGTGGCATTGTGCCACCAACTCCACCACGCCTGAAATCATGTCTTGTTTCAGACCAGAAAAGGGCCTGGAATCTCCAGAGCCCGTGCAACTGCGAGACTCCATGAAATGATGGGGCCTCCCAGGTTTCTAAGCCTTGGTCTCCTTGTCAGTGCATCAGCCCTTCCTGACCAGTGTTCCAGGACAGAACTACGCCCCACTGTCCTAAGTCACCCACTGTATGTAATGAACTACCGTGTGCTCATGCATCTAAAAGGGTACTTGCGAGATGGCAGTGTAGGCAGACAAGGCTCTCCTCTTCTCACAACCACAGCAAAATTACAACTAAAATACAAAACCACCATCACTCAGAACTGTCAGAAATTGAGCTGAATGGAAGTCTGACAACAACAGAATTAAAAAACTACATCCTGGACTTCCAGCCAAGATGGAGGTGTAGGTAGACACACTGTGCTTCCTCACACAACCAAAAGAAGGACAATTTAAAAACAAAAAAACAACCAGAACTGCCAGAATATCAAACTGTATGGAAGTGACAACCAAAGAATTAAAGAAGAAACATTCACCCAGACTGGTAGGAGGGGCAGAGATGGGCAGCTGGGCAGAGAGGACTCTCAGCAAGGTGGCAGATAGAGGACTGGGGCGAGTGAGGTGCTGGATTGTGGAATGGGTGTGCAAGGCTGCAGCTGGCCGGCAAGACAGCGGCTGATGGACCAGGTAGTCCCACATTCGAGCACAGATAAACCGGGAGGAAAAACTGGGGAGCAGAACAGACTGAGCCACCCAGGGCCCCAGTGCGGGGAAATAAAGCCTCAAACCTCTGACTGAAAACACCTGTGGGGGTTGAGGCAGCAGCAGGAGAGACTCCCAGCCCCACAGGAGAGTTCACTGGAGAGACCCACAGGGTCCTAGAATATACACAGGCCCATCCACTCGGGAATCAGCACCAGAAGGGCCCACTTTGCTTGTGGGAAGTGCGGGAAGTGATTGAAATCTGGCAGAGAGCCGAGCAAGCACCACTGTTCCTTCTCGGACCCTCCCCCACATACAGTGTCACAACCCAGCAACTGAGTTACCCACCCTGGTGAACACCTAAGGCTCTGCCCCTCATACATAACAGGCGCTTCAAGAAAAAAAAAAAATGGCCCAAATGAAAGAACAGATCAAAGCTCCAGAACAAATACAACTAAGCGACGAAGGGATAGCTGACCTATCAGATGCACAGTTCAAAACATTGGTAATCAGGATGCTCACAGAATTGGTTGAATTTCATCACAAATTAGATGAAAAAACATGAGGGCTATGCTAAGTGAAATGAAGGAAAATGTACAAGGAACCAATAGTGATGGGAAGGAAACTGGGACTCAAAACAATAGAGTGGACCAGAAGGAAGAAAGAATCAACCAAACAGAAAAGAATGGAGAAATAAGAATTCAAAAAAATGAGGAGAAGCTTAGGAACCTCCAGGATATCTTTAAACGTTCCAACATCCAAATTATAGGAGTACCAGAAGGGGAAGAGGAAGAGCAACAAGTGGAAAACTTACTTGAACAATAATAAAGGAGAACTTCCCCAACTCTGGCAAAGGAAATAGACTTCCAGGAAGTCCAGGAAGCTCAGAGAGTCCCAAAGAAGCTGGACCCAAGGAGGAACACACCATAATTATATTAGCCAAGGTAAAAATGAAGGAGAGAATCCTAGAAGCAGCAAAAGATAAGGAGGCAGTTACCTACAAAGGAGTTCCCATCAGACTGTCAGCTGATTTCTCAAAAGAGACCTTGCAGGCAAGAAGGGGCTGAAAAGAAGTATTCCAAGTATTCCAAGTATTCCAAGAAGTATTCCAAGAAGTCATGAAAGGCAAGGACCTACAACCAAGATTGCTCTATCCAAGCTTTCATTTAGAAGGGAAGGGCAGATAAAGTGCTTCTCAGATAAGGTCAAGTTAAAGGAGTTCATCATCACCAAGCCTGTATTATGTGAAATGTTAAAGGGATTTATCTAAGAAAAAGAAAATAATAAAAAATATGAACAGTAAAATGACAGCAAACTCACAATCATGAACAACCACACCTAAAACAAAAACAAAAGCAAACTAAGCAAACAACCAGAACAGGAACAAAACCACAGCAATGGAGATGGCATGGAGTGTTATCAACAGGGGAGTGGGAGGGGAAGAGAGGGGGAAAAGGTACAGAGAATAAGTAGCACAGATGGTAGGTAGAAAACAGACAGGGGGAGGGCAAGAATAGTATGGGAAATGTAAAAGCCAAAGAACTTATATGTATGACACATGGACATGACTAAAGGGGGGAATGTGGGTGGGAGCGGGTGTGCAGGGTGGAGGGGAGAGAAGGGGGGAAATGGTACAACTGTAATAGCATAATCAATAGAATATTAAAAAAAAGAAAAGAAAAAAAAACACCTACATTTATCCAGACTGAGCTGAGCTAGCAAACTCATGCCGTATCTGAGATTCCATCAACCTGGCTATCACTTTGTGACCAGCCTTGCAGATCACCAGATATTCCACCCCACCCAACTTACGGGCCCACCCAACCTTCTTTTCCATATGAATGGCTGGTCTTAGCTCAGGCTTCACAACTTCCCAAAAGTTCTCCAACAGCAACACCTGGCTTTAGTGAGCCCCAGGCCCAGCACTAGCAGCAGCCAGCCCAGATTCACAGCTTGGCTTTGCCTGGGAATCACCAAGCCCAGCACAAGTAGCAGCCAACTCAGTTTGCTTTATAGTTTAGGCAGTGTGACCTGGGCAAAACACCTGTGGGGGCTGACCTTGGCTTACACACCCAGGAAACCCCAGGGCCAGTGCATCCCGTGGGCAGCTATAGGCCACATTGGAGTACCACTACCCTGTCCTTGCGCAGCTGATCCTCCACACAGGGCGGAGATTGGTAGTCAGTGGTCACAGCCAGTCCTCACAGTTAACGGGGCTGGGTATATCCCTCCCATTGACCTGCCAACAGCAACCAAGGCTCAACTACAACAGGAGGGTGTACTGAGCCCACATGAAGGGTGCACCTTGAGTACACAGCTTGGGTGATAGGGGAGGCTGTGCCACTGGACCCTACAGGACACCTAGTACATTAGGCCACACTACCAAGGCACTGAGTCAAAGCAGCTCTACCTAGTACATAGAAACAAACATAGGGAGGCTGCCAAAATGAGGAGACAAACATGACCACAAATGTAAGAACAGATCAAAACTCCAGAAAAAGAACTAAACAAAATGGAGATAAGCAGTCTATCAGATGCAGAGTTCAAACCACTGGTTATAAGGATGCTCAAGGAACTTAGTGAGAACCTCAACAGCATAAAAAACTCCAGTCAGAAACAAAGGAAACACTAATTGAAATAAAGGACAATTGACAGGGAAACAACAGTAGAGCAGATGAAGTTGAGAATCAAATCAATGACTGGGAACATAAGTAAGAAAAAAACTACCAATCTGAAGAAGAAAAAAGAATGTAAAAAAATGAGGATACTATAAGCAGCTTCTGGGACAACTTCAAGAGGTTCAACCTTCCCATCACATGGGTGGCAGAAGAAGAGAGAGAGAAAGAAACTGGAAATCTATTTGAAAAAATAATGAACAAAAACTTCCCTAAGTTGGTGAAAGAAATAGACATGCAAGTCTATTTCTACAGCAATGGAGATCCATGGTGATCCAGGAAGTAGAGTCTCAAACAAGATGGATGCAAAGAGGCCCACTCCAAGACGCATTATATAATAATGCCAAAGGTTAAAGATAAAGAGAGTGTCTTAAATGCAGCAAGGGAAAAGAAATTAGTTACCTACAAAGGAGTTCCCATAAGACTGTCAGCTGATTTCTCAAAAGAAACTTTGCAGACTAGAAGGGACTGGCAAGAAATATTGAAAGTCATGAGAAGCAGGGACCTACAGCCAAGATTGCTCTGCCCAGCAATGCCATCATTTAGAATCGTAGGGCAGGTAAAGAGCTTCCCAGACAAGAAAAAAAACTAAAGGAGTTCATTATCACCAAACTGTTACTACATGGAATGTTAAAGGTACTTAGTTAAGAAAAAGAAGATAAAAACTATGAAGAATAAAATGGCAAAGATACATATGTATCAACAATTGAATCTAAAAAAAAAAATAAGCAAACAAGAACAGACAGAATCATGGACACAGAGTGTTTTAATGGTTGACAGATGGAGGGAGTGTGGGTGGATGGGTGAGGAGGTGAGGGGGTTCAGAAGTACAAGTAGATAGTTACAGAATAGCCACGGGGATGTAAAGTACAGCACAGGAAATGGAGTAGTCAAGAAACTCATACACATGACCCATGGACATGAACAATGGAGTGGGGACTGCCTGAGGGAGTCGGGGATGCTGGGTAGAGGAGGGCAAAGGGGGAAATATCAGGACAACTATAATAGCACAATCAATAAAATGTAATTTAAAAAAATTAAAAAAATAAAAGGGTA